CTGTGTCTGTCCTTATCTGAAGGACAAATGCAAAAGGTAATCAAAACTGATTCTCTTGAACTTGATTGCGATGTTTCGTTGGACGATACAATTTACTATTTATTTTCTTCTATGGTGAAAACAAGCGCTCTGGTTGACCAGACGCCAGTATTAACTTCCATCGACAACGAGAATGCCTTTTCGCTTTGGACAAATTATTATGGCGTAGCTTTATCGCAATATATCCGTTTCACAACAATTATGGCGAGTATCTGTGATTGTATCAAGAAACTTTTGGTGTCCAACGGGATTCCCTATGGGTAATCACTGGGCTAAGTCGTGTGTTCCAACCAATGCGTGCTCATGACCAATCGTGACCATTGGGAAGGAAGCGTGACGAAGCCCACAGAGTGGGTTGGTGGGAGGCTAGTCCAAATCTTACCGTCTGTTTCCATGAAAGGCCGCCATTTTATCGACCCTTGCCGGCCATTGACCCAATTACCAAATCCATCCCAAAGAAATTTGCAGTGAATTCCACAGGTTAGGTCAAAAGCTGCAGATTGCATGACTAAAATAAAATGAGATCAAATTAGAGTTCACAAAAAGCCAATAAGAACTCAGAGAAAACTGACGATCGAGCAACCTTAGCTGTGGGGAAACAATGCACGCGATCAAGTCGTAAATGGTGTTATTTTGATAAGTTTCACATTAAGAAGATAACCAGCCACAAAGAGAAGAAACTGGTAACTAAATAAGAATTTTATCCAAGCTTCACGGTGAAGCAAAACCAAGGATACTTTGTATCCTTTTCAACAGTCAGTTGAACATTGCTTTCCCTAATTACCCCAAATCATTGAACAAGTGTAAGGTTCTAAATATCTCCTCCCGATATGTAACTTCCTTGCTCAGGCAGCGTGCTACTTAAAGTGCTACTGAAACGAAATTTTCGTATCTGAAATATTTGCTCTAACCTGTAGTTTTGAATATGCTGATCATCATGAGATAATTTGCTTTGGCCAAAAAGAGGCGAAAGATATCTTTTTTAACCGTTCAAATCAAAAATTTAACACAAAACCATGTCCTGGCCCTGGTACCGAGCGAAATGGATTGATGACGTCACTGGTTGTGTTCACTCCGATAGCGTGGTTTATTTCACTCACTGTTTGTTTGTATTCGTGGGCGGAGGAGATGGCAGATATTGAAGTTTTGTCAAGTGAATCTTCTTCTGAACGAAGCGAAGTGGTCTCCAGTAGCGAAGAGGAAGATGGTGGCGTAAAATGGGGTTGACAGGCCTACACGACTCCCAAGCGTGTGTTTAGAGTAGCCTATTCAAAGTTTAGCCCTCACGAGTATGTCTTTGAGCGACCGCCCTCTTTTGTAAGATACGAGCGGCGGATTTTTGTATAGTTCGCTCAGTAGTGGTTGTGTTTCTATTAAATGCCAGTTTTTCATGAGAATTTGCTTTATGTGTGGCACTGAGTACGCACATCAGGGATTGCGTCTTTTTCGAATCGTTCGCCTCTGTAGATGTACAGCTATTTTTTTGACTGTCTCGATCGTTAAGTTGTCTTGATTGCTTTCAGCTTGCGCCACACGCGCTGATTCGATCGTTCTACAGTCCTTAGTGTTCAGTGTTCCAGCCGCTTTGGCTCGTTTTCTTTTCTTTATTTCGGTATGAAAACGACCGATTTCACGTTCATAGAAGCACATGATCGCCTTTACTGTTTCTTGCACCGCGTTGTTAAGGATTTGCTTTATCTCATTTTTGAAATCCTCGTCCGCTCTTATTTTGGCCCTCGCCCTATATTGTAGGGGTTCTGGACATGTTCTGCTAGGCATTTGGTACAGAGGGATTTGTTCGTTATCCTCAGACTTGCCGAGTAGATCATCTTGAGTGGCGGTGTCGTATGAGGCTTCCATGTTTTCTTCATTCTCTGAATGGCATTGCTTTGGCCCGGGGCGTTTAGTAGCCCATCTGCCATTATAATGTCTTTCGACATTTTCTGTAGATGGTTAGGCAAGACCGCGGTTTCGATCCTAATCTTGTGGATCTCGTCAGTTGCCGATTAACTAAATAGACTGGTAGAGATTCGTTCTCGGTATCAGTCGGGAATTTTGTTCCCTATCCAGGCGAACCTCTCGCAGATAGCCAAGATGCCGATGTGGCCGCCGATGAATAAGAATAGGACGGCATTTTGCCCGAAATCCTCTTTTTCGGCCCGCCAACATGCAAGCCACACTCCATGCTTTTACCCCTCTTTCACAGAAGTACACAACCAGTGACGTCACAGGGCTGTTTTGGCCGCGCCAAGATGGCCGCCAATTTTGATCTCAGCTGGTCAACTTCGAATGGTTAAAAATGTACTTTTGGCTATGCGTTGGCTCAAAAAAAGTACACAGCGTTTGCAAATAACGTTCAAACTCTATTATTTTGCAAAAATCTCGGATATGAAAATTACGTTTCAGTAGCACTTTACATGTATTACCTCACCTTGATATAGAGGCTGTTTCCCCGGAGGCACTGGGCGTATGCTAATCCAGATAGGGTTACCAGATCTTAGGGGCTTCAGAATGTAAGGCCGCTCAGCTCCACGTTTAGTGGGTCCCAGGACTCCCTCTTGTTGGTTTTTCCCTTGGGCGTTTCCTTCAACGTATCAAATTAGTTAAATGTTAGGTAACTAAAAGGTGAAATCTTCAACATTTTCCGGGCCGGAGTTTATCCCAGTTTATACAACTTAAAGCAGCTAGGAATATACTTGCTTCCCTTGGATGGGAGACTAGTTTTTCATGGGTCATCCTCGTTGAGTGTGTCAGATTTTCACTGACTATTAACCAGCCCCCTTAAATACTCCTGGGTAGAGAGAAACACTGTGAGAGTAAAGTGTTTTCCTCAAGAGCACATCACGATTTTCCCAGCCAGACCTCGCGATCACTGCGTCTCCAGCAACATGAGGGTAACCAATAATGTATTTACCCGTAGGTTAGACATCTTGGATATCAAAAGAACTAGGGGGAAATTTTCCTTTTAGAATAAGTACTGTTTGGGATATTCGTTTCATAAAGTGAAACTCTCTTAGTCAACAAGGGTTAATTCTATTTTTATTTTTTACTGAGGTAAAGTTTGAACGAAACAGAGTTCAAGCATTATCAAAACATGGTAAGTTTCTATGCTTATTCCTTAAAATGATGTAGGGAAAATGAGCTCTTACAGCCCAATTATTCATACGCGAATCCGAAAGCGTTGATATCTGGAAAGGTTGAAAAGCGTTCTTTAGGTTCCAGAATATCTCAGAACTCAATTGACACTTAAATGGCACTCATACGTGTGGCCTCCTGGTTAGTGCGCTTGAGCGGGTTCGAAACCTGAGCGGGAACATCGTGTTGTGTTCTTGGGCAAGACACTTTACTCTCACAGTGCCACTGTTCACCCAGGTTTGATTGTCCATAAATATATATGCCGTGCTATTAAGAACTAATTATTCGGCAACTTGACGACAATAATAACGGCACTAGAAGTGATTGACCTACCGACAATGAACCATTCAGGAGGCGGATCTCTAAATCCATCGCAAAGTGAATGATCCAAAACCGCTTCCACCTGATAATTACCGGGCTCCGTAATAAGGAACCCGACTTCATACGTCCCATTCATGTGATCAAAAACAGTCCCAGCAACTGAGGCCGGGCCCTTGAGCTGTACCCGCCACGAGTCTCCTCCGATTGCCTTTTCCTCGCCATTACTCGTAACGGTCACGATGCTGAACTTGCTAAATTCACCGCACGGTCTAATGTCCCACATGGAAATGTAACTCTCGTCGGGGTCCGTGCGGTGTTCCACCTCCCAGCCCGTTGGTGTAACACCCCAGGCTAGGTTCCCACGACAAGGTTTTAATATTTGTTCCCAGTCTACTCGTGCTTTTCTTACTCGACACCACTGTCTCATGAAGTCAGCGGTTCTGATTTGATCTGATGACGGCGATTGGATGATTTTAATCAAAATGATGGTCGACAACGTTATTGCAAGTATTAACAATGTTTTCTTCCTTTTTGAGAATTTATTACAAGGACTCAGCTCCCTACGGACCATTCTACTTGTCCAATCCACGATTACATTGTCTAGTAAGAATTAAAGAGCAAAGAAACCTGCTCAACACAAAATAGACCACGAGCAAAACAATAAACCTAGCTCAAAAGTAGATGGTAAACTCTGAGTAATTAATTGGCCTGTCTGACTTTTTTGTAGATTTCGTATTACAAGTAAAGTATTTCAATGGGAATTTCAATTTGATAAATGCTTGCTAAAGTTACGTTCAAAATTCACTGAAAATCAGTGTATAGGAAACTCCCAGAGTATTAAAAATGCATATCACGTTTTGGCCTTTCTTCACGTAAACTGACAGGTACAACTTGTTGTCGTTGACGACGTTTTGGCATTTGGGTCGACAAAAATTGCATTTTAATTCCGTTTTACTTTTTCCAATTTAAAAACAAGATTTGGAGTAGCATTTCTAGCAGATTGCTGAATATTGTTTTTTTAATCCTAGAGAACAAATAATAAAGGTTCCTATGGCTTATGACAAACTGAAATGATCCTTAAAGAAACAAAGGTAATTTACAAATGCTTTGCTTATTGGTCAAATTGGCCCTTTAAATAACTGACGCGATTAATTATGTGCTTACCTACTCATGGTTAGCGATATTTCGAATGACTATCTTGCTTTTTCTCGTTCTCATCGCGGAAGCTTCCTTCAATTCTCTACACTCGCAAGCTGTCTGTGCGCAGGTGAAAATGAATTATCATAAATTAATTACCCGTAATCAATGGCGCGCCAGTGCCCAGTTGTTCGAGGAGTTCTTAGCGCTACCACCGGGTTAAATTCCAATCCAGGTTTCTTTATTTCTTTGTTTAAAAGCCTTTTTCGGATAATGTTCTCGATTTTTTTTTTTTTTTTGAAGCCTACATTAATGAGTCATTTATTTGGTATCTTTTAAGAGATCTTATTTCGTTCAGTTTGGAACCAGTTGTGTTTTCGTTGTAACTTTTAATTAACATAACAGAAAATGTTTAACAAGCAGGGTGACCACATCTTGGTGAAGTGTCAAGATTCTGAAAAAATATACTTCTGACACCAAGGGCTGATTTTAAAATCCTTACAGTCATAAAAGCATGATTCACATGAAAATGTTAAGCGCATTTATAGTGAGATCAAATTCAAATTTAAAATCACAATCTTCCCAAAATTACGCATGTTGATAAATGTTGATCGTTGAGAATCGATTTGCACGGAAAAAAACCAACGGAAAAACAGTTGACTTACAAACTATTAGTTTCCCCAATTCGAATTAAAAAAAAAATCACCGCAACCTTAAGGGATATCAAAAGTGATCCTTTAGTTAAGTCTCCCCTGTTTAATAACAATCCCCAGACATCTATTTCTAGAATAAAGCAAATTAAAACAACAGAACTTCTACTTTATCAGCTTATTTTCATTTATTCACATATCAGAAATGACCATCGGATAAATACAATCATGTGTGCTGACCGTGAACTGAGACTCTTGTCACGTGCTCTACCATCAAGTGATTAAATGATCGCTCTTTTCCCTGCGGCGGGGTTGCTGCAAGTTAGCTGAGTCGGATCGGTGAGATAAACATGCTGTGTTGAAATCACTTCTCTGCTCATTAAACATTTGGGTATCGGTGGTTTGAAGAAGTGCTGAAAATTAAAATCACAACAGTATGATTTTTACTATGTTGATGTATCAGCTGTCTTTGGAGGTCTTTGAGCAGTTTAGTCTCTTAAAATTAAGAAAATTTTCCAGTCGAACAATGCTAGAGATACCGGGTTGATAAAAATAAAGGGGAAACTACCATCTGTTGGAAAACCAAAAGCAAAAATCTATCAAATCAACAATCACCAAGCCTTTTAAAGTAAAAAAAAAAAAAACATTTATTCCACCCAAATAGGATATTTAACTTAATAATGAAGTGACTCCCCTGGCCGGTCAGATCCGATTAAAAACAATATTCTCCACGGAAATGGGTCAGTCAGACCGAGGAGCATTCTTTATTCCGGCCTAACAAATGCATGCACCGCCCAACAGGGTGTGGCTTTCAGGGTATTGATTCTTAAGCAGAGTATCAATTCTGGTGGCTTTTTGAACAAAAGATGTCTCTTTGGATCAGAAGCCTTGGACAGATAGTGAATTTGGTTGATGCGTTGTATATATTTCTGCCTCTAGTAATTTTTTTAAAGTCTAATCTTAAAATTTTCTCTAAAATAAGCATGGCTCCATGTGATTGAAATACCACAAATCATATAACTCGTCATCTTAATCAGAGTATCAAAATTTTTTTTCCCTGAAAAAGGTTTCACGGTTGTTTGAAGGGCTTGGCGGCACACCCCGGCCAAAACTTTCCTTGAATGCTTCTTGCCCCTTTTTCCTGGGGTTATCGGACAGTTTCATCTAATAAAAGGAAGAAATCTTTCGATGAGAAAAATGGCCTCATTCTTACCGACAAACTCGGAATTGGCGGGTGCTCCCACAAAGGACTCGTGAGGTTAGCAAGTGCTGCCCAACCAAACGACTTGAGCCGGCGAGTCACCTGATCATACAACAAAAACACCGGGTAGGACTGGTCACAGTGCATGTTTTCGGAAATATCGTACCAGTAATGGACTCCTGGAATAACAGGGATTTCGTGTTAAAGGTTAACGATTGCTAACTTGAATATATGGAGATATATTTTCCCTCTTTTCATAAACTGAATTAGGGTGAAAAGGCGTTGGAGTAAAAAAAAGGTTTTGTACTCGGCAAAATTTAAAAGCTTTTGCATGTCTATGCCTTCGTCTTCGTCTGAAAAATACAAAAAAACGCCTCTTCTACGGGCTTGTCATTTAGCTCGTACCATCATAAACTCAGTTGGAAGCTGAAGAAAAAGCGTAAAAGAAAAAGAGAGAAATAGCTTTGATGATTAAAAATTGATTTGAATTTTTTTTCTGTTCTGACCCATCTTTGAGACGCAACGTCCCTCCACCCATCTGCTGTCAAGTTTCTTCTCCTCAAGAGGAATTTCCATGAATTGTGGTTTGCCACACAATCTGATATCACTGGTCTGAATGACAAGACTGTCCTCATTTTTACTTCGAGGCTTTTTCTTGCATATGTCTTTGGGCTTTTTAGTGAAGTACGCCGTCAAAAGGTAGTGGCCATGATCATCCTTCACAAACGCCGACGGTCGGGGTCGGGTGGGTGAGAGAATAAGATCGTCGGATTCGGTAATCTATTGGGGTGGGGAGGAACACATTTAATAACTCTATAATTAATTGAAAGGTGGCCCTATGGTTAGTACGCAGGACTTTAGGTTGAAGGTCTGGGTTTGAGCCCTGACATGGTCATTCTATTCTGTTCTCAGTCGTGAGTTTTCACCGCCACAGTGCCTTTCTACATTCCGAAGTGTAAAAAGGTATACAGAGGTATCATTAACCTTTTCCATAAGCGAATGCAGTCTTGGGGATGGTACTATAAGCGGCAATACCCGGAAAAAAGGTCTTAAGGCCCCTTTCCTCTAGTATGACAATTTCATACTTTTATAGGAAGGCAGTCTTCAATTCAGTTTAACTAAGGCTAGTTTGGTTACAATGTAAATATGAAGTTCATATATTTTGAACTGCGGTATTAAATACGTATGATGCACGATCCTCGCAGTAGAGAGCGCTATTTATGCAATAGCGAAAATCAGACCTGAAAAAAATAAGGCCTGTACGGGATTCGAACCACTGACCTCTGCGATACTAGTGCAGCGCTCTACCAATTGAGCTAACAAGCCAACTGGAAACAGGCCGTTAAGTTGATTCGTAATAAATCCGTAATAAACTGCGAGGATCGTGCATCATACTAAGGCTAGTTTCATCAACATTAATTTAGTCAGTTCATTTCGCGCTGACGTACTATCTTATCTTTTGTTTGTGGACCCTATAATAAATAAGCGCGAAATGAAGTAACTACTTCATCGTGCTAATCAAAAAAAATTAGCGGAAAAAACGAAAACAAAAACAAAAAACAAATATTAGTGCGCCATGGGGAACTTTGGAAGTGAGACACACAAAAGGAGTTCTCCTAGAGCTCCGCGCGGTCGTAGTCTAGTGCGCACTGAATGAGCTGAAAAATTATCGCAATCTCACCGTTCCTTGTATTCCAGCGAGGTTTCCTGCAGAATCAAACAACAACCGCGTAGAAATATCGTTGCCCTTAACATATCTGTTTCCATAAAATGGATTTTTGGATTCTGCAAAGAGATGAAACGATTCTTAAGAGCCCACACAACACAACAGAGCGAAGAGGAGCTTAAAAAAAAGTAGGATCTTCGCCGCATTAAGATTTGTTGAGAGAGGAAATGATTTTCTTTTGTTTTCAGAAATACGACGACTGCAGTACTGAGAATATGGGTTGGGTCCATAACATGATGTACAATATATTTAACAAACTGAAGGTCACGTAATACCACACGAAGCGTCGTTTCTCCATCCCTCTTTTAAAGCTTGATCTTCCGTCCGAGGAAGTGGCGTTTGCTTCTTGAAATTCACTGTGCGGGAATAAAAAAAAAATGGTTACAAAGAACATATCACATAAATAGATAAAAGACTGGGCAATCAGTCGTTGTCCAATGTTATGAAAAGCGTCAGTCGCCCGATGGTGCTTCTCTGGCAGAAAAAAATTCCAACGATAAGAAAAAAGCAACCAAAAAAAAAGAACAAACAACAACATCAACAACAACAGCAGACTATTGCTCTCTAGAAATTTCGAAAGCTTCATTTAGAGCCTGCAGAATAGATTTTAGAGTTTTTATTTCGTTGCGTAAGTTTTGTTACTCGAGCGAGGAATTGTACGCGGCGAGTATTGGGTTTTCATTGTCATTTCAGTAAAGCCAGGGTGTTTTGAGGCGAGAAAATAGATATTGAAACCACTTTTAACAACTCTCTGTAAAACTGGCGTCTTTCTTTTCTTTTTCCATGCAACTGTGTCGTTGTGAAAACATAAACTGAATCTGACTTGCTTATGATACTCACCCAGCAAACGGTCCCATTTATTTCCTACAAGTATAAAAAGGCGAAATCATTTTAATCAATAGAAAAAATTAATTTGCTAGAGTACTCATTCGAAAGTTAGATATATGATTTCAAAATATGAAATGAACCAACCTACCAAACTTTAGATACACAAAAAGAATTATTCATTTGTGCGAATTAATTAAGCTCATGTTATTGTGTGAATCGGCGACAGTTATGAGTTTTTCAGACATTGTCCGCTTACCTTTTTTATACTGCCGTTTAGTACAGAGAAACGGAAATCACTTCTCATTTATTAAGACTGGATAACAACTTTATCAAACACAACGTGGGACATATGCAATCTCTAAATATATGCAAAGTTCTGTTAATGACTGTTTTTCAGTATAATTAACTCCGGAAAAACAAGCATCTGTACTAACTATTGTTCGATTTGGAAATGCGTTAAGTATGGAATGTTTGCCATCGAAAATAATGAGATTTACCGTGAATTCTACAAAATGCCAGTGTTGTCTGTATAAATAAGTTTATAAAATAAATACAACTATTAATGAGACTGTTCATTTGACAGTAAATTAGATGATATGGAACGGATATGAAAGCTCTCAACGAAACTATCAGATTTACAAACTTTTGTGTAATTGCGGTCTCGAAGTGGAAAGAACTGCAGTCAGGCTACTCGATAACCAAACGCAAGCGCGAGATGAAACAATGACGGCGAAGACTAACTGGTGATATCAATAAAATATTTCTAAGATCCCAATCTGAATATGAAAGAAGGTTAAGTTTAGCGGAGTTGAATGAGAACCCGCTCCATAAAGTTTCAGTTGCACAAAACCGACTTGAAAAATAAAGTTGGGAAGGTTTTCACTCACTATAACCTACTTAAACTATTTGAAATTAATTTCTTAACAAAAAAAAATTCTTAAGCGTTTTCTGGTGGGAAAACGAAAAATTATTTTTTACATTGATAAATGAATAAACAGACCTTTTCAGTATAAACAATAAATTTCAGTTTATCTTTCTAATCATTGTATTTCCTTTCCCAACTAACAGCTGATTGCTTGTTCCTGACTTAAAATAATAATAACAAACGTTTAATTTTCCTGAAAAAGGTGTCTGCAAATATTGGATTAAATTTAATTAATCCCCGCTAATAGAGGAACAGGAAAAAACATCCGTGGTGAACAGTGGTGACAATATCCTTTTTTTCAACATTTTGAAATTTTTTAACGGTAACCGGCACCGTGAAAACAAACGGCAAAAAGTTACCACATATTGGTGTATAAACATGTATTAATCTTTTTAATTTCCGGACTAAGAAGTTACTCCGGATCCAGTTGCACTCGTTCAAAGTAGATTGTGAAGAAAGCAGCATTATTTCCAACTAGCGAACCTTTAGAGGATTGTTAAAGGTTGCATTACAATGAATAAGAAAGAATCAATTTACAGTTGAACTGTGTTCACTTCTGACATAGATTTCCTTGCTGAATCATTTATTTGGAGCAAACACCTGAAGCCATCAAAATATATATAAAAGTAATTAAAATCAATTTCTTGTAAGTTTCCAAGTGTTTTCCATCGCTTGGACTAAAAGATGTCGTGCTTGGTGTTAGAATAAAATTATACTTTACAATCATTTAATTACTTGTCATGAAGGAAACACTTTTAAGAGAACTCGTGTAATTTGTTAGCAGTGAATGTGATTCGGAATCTTAGTCTGTGAGTGAGATCCTGCTGGGCTGCTGGGCTACTGGGCTACTGAACAGTTCGTTGATGTGGTAATATCTGTTATCCTTCGAAATTTTCAGCATTTCATGGAAGAAGCCGTCCTTTGTGAATATTTAGATTTGAACTATTACAGAGGTATTATCATACGAGAGTCTTAATGGGGTGACGGCTTCTATGGCTGATGGTTAAAAATTTTGGCTCTGTTACGGCTAATGGTTAAATTCTTTCCGTTACTGTGGAATGAAAAATTTGAACGGTTAACTTTTTTACGACTAAAAGTTAAAATTGGTCAATTTTTACACCCAAACTCTAAATTTTTGTATATATCAACAAAGTTGAAATGGTAAATTGGCCACCGTAATGATTACAAAAGCTGACGTTTCGAGCGTTAGCCCTTCGTCGGAGCGAAGGGCTAACGCTCGAAACGTCAGCTTTTGTAATCATTACGGTGGCCAATTTACCATTTCAACTTTGTTGATATATCCAAATTATTTCGTTACTCCCACCGACGCAGCCCCAAACAGTTTCTTTCGAAACTATCAGCCTTTATTCATTTGTTCCAAGGGGTAGTATGTACTAAATGTGTCTATGAGAGGGAATATTTTCTTGAAAGAACCAAGTTGGAGAGTGTTACTGTTGAAAAAGACCTGGGTATTTTGATTAGCCACAATTTAAGCTGGAATCATCTCCTTGATATCATCTTGTCCAGAGCTCAAAGGATGGTTAATTTACTCTGTAGGACATGTCACTGATATTAAAACTACTAAAAAGTTACTTTACATTTACTTGGGTGCAGTCACATCTGGAGTATGAGTTAAGTGTATTTTTTTTGTTATTAATATTTGACACTGATTTTTTCAGATACATATATAATTAACAACAAGAAACCGAGCAACTTCAGAATACCCGGCCACTTTTGAGCATTACTAAAATCGATTGCTCCTAGCTGTGCTCCCAAAGTCATTAAATGAGGAAATGCCCAAATAGTCCCCCATTCCCACAATGAAAAAATTATTGAAGGAGAAGCCAGTAAAACTAGTGCTCCCAAAGTCCCAAACTCCCGCAGTCAAAGAATAATTAACAGAGATCGATAAACTGGTGCTTCTGCAGTCCTGCACTCCCACAGTCCAAAAATAATTGATGGAGAGATCGTTAAACTAGTGCCCCGCAGTCTCGCAGTCAAAGAATAATTAATGGAGAGATTGTTAAAGTAGTGCTCCCGCAGTCCTGCAGTCAAAGAATAATTAATAGAGAGGTTAATGAAACTAGTACTCCCGTAGTCACGCACTACCACTTTGTACAGTCTGGTAAAAAAAAAATGGGAAATTGTCTGATCGAGAGTTAACAACTGAAAGTATGTTATTAGAAAAATGGGATTGCAGTTTGTTTTTACTTAATTTCAAAAATTGATACTGGGACTTGTTGTAAATAAAGATTGAATCCAAATAATGTATAATTACCAGTTCCTGGATATCCCACAAAGATGGTGAAGATGTTGAGTGGCTGATTGTGGGTTAAGGTTTTCACTGTTGCTTGATTTGAGGCCAGAACAAATGCCATTGAGGTTAACAGAGATGGAGTGAAGTATCCTTCACAGCTACCCACTGACATCGCCTTGTTTTTGATGAAGTCATAAACTTCTGGAGTTTCAAACAGTAGGTCATAAGGTAACTGCACATCATTTAGTCGTTTTTGAAGATTAACCTAACTTTGATCGTTCTGTTTACCGAGTTTTGAGAGCACGAACACTGCGAAGATAGTTGAGAGAAACTCTACTGACTATGATTTAGAGAAGACTTGGAATAAAATGAAAGCATTGTAAACGTGTTATTCGTAGTTCAGC